CAGAAGGAAGGTTGGGCAATCCTACTTCCGTAGTGATACTGCCTCGGAAACCCAAGGAGGGGTCGCTATGAGTCAGGGCTGACTCGATGGCACATAACAACAACAACACACCAACTGTGGAGATGCAAAATGTCACTTGTTTAATGACATAGGAATTCCAGATCTCAAGCAAACAAGTGGCACTCTGACTGAGTAAAGCCCCCATGACTCGAGGGGTACGTTCATATACACATAGAGGCACGTCACCCCGGATTACGAACAAGTTCCACGCCTAAATCTGCCTTTAAGTCCAATTTGTACATTAGAACAGTTAGGTATGGTTCTATCTAATGTGTTAGTGAGATGTTTGTCTCAGTGTATAGTTTCTGGTGTACCTTTATATACATACAAATCATTTTAGAAACACGTCCAGACACGCTGAGACATCTTTAACATAATACAATAATGGTAATGTTTTCATACATGTCACAAAATCGACAGTAATAATAGTAATGTTTTCATACATGTCGCAAAGTCGTACTCATTTGTTATTATGAGCCATTATATGTACCTTAGGAGCTCTGGTAGCATAGTGGCTAAAGCACTTGACTGCTAGCCAGAAGGCTGGTGGTTCAAATCCACCAGCCACTCCTCAGAAGGAAGGCTGGGCAATCCTACTTCCGTAGTGATACTGCCTTGGAAACCCAAGGAGGGGTCGCTATGAGTCGAGGCTGACTCGACGGCACATAACAACAACAACATATGTACCTTAAATTTTTAACAGAATAGCCTCTACGGAGGTCGGTTGGTCACTGCGGGTGGTATGGAAGTAACCAGAGACCTAAATAATTCTTCCTCCTGATGTGTGCAGTACCAAGAGCTGCCACCAGGTGGTGGTGGGCGCACGGGGAGGATCTCAACAAAGAGGCCTTGCCCTCCAGTGTTAGCTGAGTCTCAAAGCAATACAGCAATAACAATAGCAGATAACTGACGGAGCTGTGACTGTGGGCCAGGCACTAATCTGAGTGCTTAAGACGCACTATATCATTCAAGCCTTGCAGAAACAGCCCCTGAGTGCATCATTTGTTACACTTCAATATTTTCTGTTAAGAAAAAAAATAAAAAACTTTATTAAAATACCAGAAGAAATTATACAACTGCTCTCAAAAGCAAATACTCAGAGTTACCAACACCTGGGGACCATTAATAGCCTATTAACTAAACTGTTATTTAATCACTAGCTAAGTAAATTCGGAGTTACTAATTTACTTTGCTTAATTTCCTAGAACAGCAGGCCTCTCTGGGCCATGGGATTGCATTCTGTAAGCCTATAAAGGAATCCGGAAAGAGATGAGGTAC